AATTGACAAATCTGTTGGAGAGCTGACTTGAAACCTATCCCATACTAATACACAAACACATTACAATTAGAAACACGATTGCTAGAGGCCTGAAACATTCAAACACTCCACATCACCAAAAAACTGTCAAAACTTGCAGTTTTTGCATAAGCATAGCAATCCATCATTTGGCTCGTGCGTTTCAAGTTTCAATCATCAAAATACTTTACCTACTTGATATCTAAGTGATCCAGACCATCATCTTTGTATTGTAACTCCTTCTCCATCATCTGTCATTGTTGTTTTCAAAGCTTGCAGGTTGACTTGGATAGAGAGTTCCAGGCACTTCCAAGGCAAGGCAAGGATTGGAATACACTCAGGAAGGTTCAAGCAAGCTCAAGCAATCATTAGGCCTTCATAAAACTCACTCAAACTCCATTCACGATTTCAACTGAAAGAGGTAAAAATCTCAACTTCTATCTCTTCATACAGGCATCCATTGACCACGATTTGTGAATAAACAATGTAGACCTCATTGCTACGAAGTTGTACATATATATATATATATATATATATATATATATATATATATATATATATATATATATATATATATATATATATATATATATATATATATATATATATATATATATATATATATATATATATATATATATATATATATATATATATATATATATATATATATATATATATATATATATATATATATATATATATATATATATATATATATATATATATATATATATATATATATATATATATATATATCTTGCATTTATTTGGCCTGAGTTGAGAGAATTTTGAACTTGAAGTTCCTGGAAAAATTAGGTTTAAATTTAGGGCTTTTAAAATTCGTTTTGATCTTTGATTGTTAGCTTACACAATTTACATGGTTAGAATCGTGAGACAAAATGCTACAACATTCATGTTATCAGTTTCCATTTTTATTGAGAGATGAGAAAGTTACAGAGCTTCTGGCTGGCTTGAGGAAGAAGATGAAGTACAGGGCAAGGGCTTTGTTTGTGTTATGTTATTTTTGTTTCACATTAATCAACGGATGTATAGTCACCCCAATGGCAAGGTAGCGCGCTGGTGAGACCCAGGTCCTGGGTTCGAACCTTGGCGCTACCTTTTGTTTTTTCATATTTTTCCTTTTCCTTTTTTTGGTTTGTTTTGCAGGATTGGGCCTCCAAGCTGGGCCTTGTGTTTTTTCTAACTTTCACCATTTGATTGCTCAGGATACCCCCCTAGCCCAACTATTTTCATATTTATTTATTTATTTTCATTTTTGTTTATTAAATATTTCTTTAATACATAAAAAAATCCTAAAAAATATAAATATGATAATTTTGAATTTTTGTTTATCTTATTTTATTTTCACATTAAAAAATATTTTTATTAAACTATATATTAATTATTTTTCTTGAATAACTTGTAAACATAAATAAAATAGGTTTAATTTAATTTATTTTATTTTCTTTTTCATTCCATACTTGTAAATATTTATTTTAGCATATATAAAACTAAATATTTTCATAAAATATTATTTATTATTTTTAATACAAAAAATACCTAAAAATAATACATAAGAACCTTATTTTCTTTCAAACTGGAAATTAGGGTTAAACCCTTTTTAAGTATTATTTTCTTTTCCTCATATTTTTAGGATTAGGTTAAAATCGCTTTTCACACAAAAAATAAATAATAAAACAAAATCTTTTCTTGCATATACATAATATTGCATATTTAAATATTGTATTTGTTTATTTCAATATTTGTACAAATTCGATTTGGTTGTAATAGCTTATTTAGATTTACATTCTTGCAAATCCCCATTCAAATTTATATTCCCTCCTCCCATAAATTGTTGTAATAGTTTAGTAATCTTTACATTACGTAATTTACCGCTTTACATGCCATGTTGGTAATGAGGGTTTGAATGGCAAGATCAAAACAAAACAAATAGAAAACCCTAATACAAGACAAAATTGAGGCATGAAAATAACACACTTGCACACAAAGCATCCTTAGGGTTTCTCCACTTGGTTACCTTATACAATAATAGCCATATTACGCATGCGAAGTACCTTGGAAAAACAAACAAATATAAGATCATAGTCCCTCGATGACGCTATTCAAAGTTGTCTTACAAAATGATCTTGGTCCCTCAAAAAATGCTAAGATACTTTACAATATTGCTAATCATGGTTATACGCTGACCCACGCCCGTCCCGTTTACATCCAAAGATAGGGTTGCTTACCAAATCAATGGTAAAACAACAATGTCAAAGAGATAGAAAATGCACAAGAAAGACATTTGAGTAGGTAGATTACTTCTAGTTACTTGCTCTATTTCTAAACAACTATCCTTGCTATTTTCAAAAACAAACACACATTTCCAAACATTTCCAAACATTTTACAAACATTGAAACATTTTCAAAAAAAGATAAACATCTTTGTATACATTCTTACGAATGAGAATCATTACAAAGATTGCCTAAACAATGGCCTCTTTACAAAATACTTTCAAAACCACACCAAACACATTTTCAAACAACAAAAGCAAGTGATCTAGCAAGTAACTAAGAGCCCATAGAAAACCATGGATGAAAAGGGTGCTAGTACCTTCCCTTTTCATAATCTACCACTCGAACTCAAGAAAACATCTCAAAGGTGTTTCCTGTGCTTTTTCACCTTTCCTTTTGGATAAAAGAAAAGTCGGTGGTGACTCTTGCTAACCGCAACATTTGTGATAAAACGCAAAACCCTCAAGTCAGTTCTCCCACCGTATCACACACGAATTCCAATTGATGCAGAGATAAGGATGATCGAAAGTCTATGGCTGGTTATGTCTTTATGTTCGGCGGAGCTGTAATCTCTTAGTGCTAAAAAAAGGAACTTGTGGTTGCACTATCTTCTTGTGAGGCCGAGTACATCGTTGCATCGATGTGTGCGTGTCAGGCTATGTGACTTATGAATCTGCTGAAGGAGCTGGGAAGCAATGCAGAAAAAGCTCTTACGCTCTTGGTTGATAATATTTCAGCCATTAATCTTGCAAGGAATCCCATAGCACATGGGAAGAGAAAACATATAGAGATACATTTTCATTACTTGAGGGAACTGGTGTGTGCAAGTCAGTTGAAGTTAGGAAAATGTCGAAGCAAAGAACAACTTGTAGATTTGTTGACGAAAGGCGTGACAAATGATGTGTTCAAGAAGCTTGTGAGGAGTTTAGGTATGAAGAATGTTGAGCATTTGAATTAAGGTGGTGTATTGGAAGTTGAAAATAATTTAAATGTATTTTGAAAGTTTCTAAATTTGTTTCGTACAAACAACTTATTTGAAAAGCACTTCTGGAAGCTGCAAAGATTTTGTGTTTCAAAAGAGAAACCGATTTCCCAGTTTGAGGAAACCAGTTTCTGTCACGTGTTTTTGACTTCTTGTGTGTTTTTCTGTTGAGGAAACCGATTTCCTGTTTTAGGAAATCGATTTCTGACGCAATAATTTTGTATTTTTAAGCTGTTTTGGGACCGTTTGATCTCATGGGTGTTTTAGATGTATCCTATATAAACTCTCATGTAATGTGTTTAGCTTTTAATGTCATTTTGATATTTTCTCCTCAATTATTCTCTCTTATAATCTTTAATTTCTCTCTAAATTTCATCTTCTCCAATTAATCACCTTTCACCATTGATTCATCAATTTAATTTTTGTGAATGTTCCAACACTTTACTTATGTGAAACATGTGGTTTACGAGGAATACACATTTCTTTCGAGGAACACAATCAACAACTATGTCTACTATTAGTATAGTTTTTCTTTAAAACATCATATATCACAACGAGTATATGATAACTCAAATTGTTCTCTCTATATAAAGCCTTCAGAGTAAGTGTTTTCGAAACATTGTGACAATGATACACGAATCCTAAATATAGATGGCAGTGTATTTACAAATCCAGAATAAAGAGATTATGTTGGTCTGTTATACAACTCAGATATGATCAATTTTAGTGTAATAATGTAAAGTGAGTTTGTCAAACATATTTAAACACCGATACTCTACAAATATTTATTGTATAGAACATCACACCGTCAAGACATGTAAATAAATTAATATTTTTGTTAAAACATAAAACCCAAAATTTCCATTTAAAAACATTGAAATAAAAAATAAAACATTGCTGAAAGAATACCGTAAAGTTGGATTATTACTTTAAAAAATGACAAACGACAACTTATATGCTGCTTGAAATATTCTGACACTTTATGTGTCATCCTTAATAAGATCCAGCCAAAATGCTGAAAAGCAATTTCCATAAAATTCTTCAAGCACAATATCTATCAATATTCTAATGCTATCAAGAATACGGTACGCGACAGCTTTTACACTTTGTGATATTTGAAGTAGAAAAATTTGTACGCAATCTTGTTCAAGATATCCCAAAATAAACCTTGATGGCTAGCACACACATGAATGGATGACTAAGAACAACACAGGAATTTTGTCCACTCAACAATTTCCTTTTCATTAGACAAAAACATGTATGATAAGCACCAATTCATGTACCTTTTCATGGAAGTGTTACTCGAATAACTGCAACATCCAAAATGGAAAATTCTAAAGTGGATTCCATTTTGTGTGTCACTTACACAAAATCCAACATCTAAAAGACAAATTATAACATAAAGAAATTAAGCTCAGAACATGAATGAACATTCATCTATGAAAATGGCACTAAGTTACAACAATAACCTCCTCCAATATCAGATGGGAAAAAATCTGCAAAATATATCAGTAGCTCTTTCCACAACAGTCTAAATTAACCATAGCATAGTTATATTGAAAAAAACTATGGCATAAAACTCAATCTCTCTGTAGTTCTCTTTGTTAGATATATAATATTTTTATGATGTTAAATTCTCAGCCTTCACCTATATGCTATGTTTTATTATATTATATTATCTGCAAAAATTTAGAAACTCTAATTATTCGGCTTCATGTTGCTGCTGCTCCTGATCATCTTTCCAATTCCTGCAATCTGATTGTTCATCTTCTGCATCCACACTGTTTCTTCCGTGGCTCGAGAGACCTTTAACAGATCCTCCAATGAGAATAGGAGTAAGAGGACCCTGTGGTGAAACAGACTCTGATAAATTTCCCTTGGATGTATCTTGATCTTGGATCATATATAAGGCTAGTTTATTAGCCTCCTCAATTGAAGAAACTGGGAATCTTCTAACATGAAGCCTGTATTTCTGCATAACCATACAAATGCAATGCATAAGTTTTCTTTTTAACTTGACATAACAATTAATAAAAGATACAAATATGCAGAAACTAATAATGTTCTTAATCATGGTTATAACGATAAGGTTTAGTGTTTTGAGATGAAATACTGTTACTCACCTGCAAATGGCTTTTCACTTCATCATTTGTTAATCCATCCACTTGCATCTTTTCTCTAATTTGTTTAGGAGTGGCTGCTACAGAAAAATAAAACCAATTAGGCTCACATCTTACATATTTTGTGTAAAGTCGGATAATCCATACAGTCAGCAAGTTGGAACCGTCCATTCAAGAGTTTGTTTTTATGATTACTTTAAATTTGATTTACCAAACTTAAAATACAAGTCTTTCAAGCTTGATTAGACAGTTCAGACAAGTGAGTGACTATACTGAGCTTGAACAATATGTGATCTTGATCCCCATACACCAGAATTGGATTCCTGCAGCCATGATCTCAATTGTTCGATGCAGATCAAACAATTTTACATCTATAAATCTGCTTGATCCCCTCCAACAACTGATATCGATTAACTACACTAAATCCACATGTTTTCCAATTTCAGGGAATTTAGATCACTTCCTACACCCACAATATCAATCCAAATGTGACAAACAACTCTATTCCGAAATTGAGACTACCAAAATTCTACACCAGAATCAATAGAAAACACCACAAACACGCAAACACAACACAATTAACAAGAAAAAGAATAAATCAGAACACAAACAATCTACCATGTGCTCCACCAAGCTGCTGAAGAGCATCAACAAAACGGCGATGAAGCTCGGAAGACCAGCTCCGCCTTTGTTTCCTGGAACTCTGCAGCAAAGGCTGAGGTGGCTGCGGCTGTTGATTCTGTATCTCAACTCGCAACAAAGACGAACCAGAACTACTTCGATCACAACCAGTCTTAGAATTTCCATGACTCACTTCAGACACCAAACTAAAACTCGGAACCTGAGAAACCTCCTTCAAAGGAACACGAGTATTTTCATTAAATGCCATAAATACCCCTCCACCATTACTCTTCTGTAACACAGACCTATCACCATCTTCATTCTTCTACAGAAAAAAAATCAAACCAATTTTTATCTCAACAATTCAATCAAAATTACTACAAAATATTATTCTCAGAATGAAAAAAAAAAATTGAAAATTACCGATTTTGTTTGAGTAGTCCAAAGCTGAACTGAACTCATCCAATTCATCTTATTATCAGACTTGTCATTCATCATAACTGGATCTTGCATTTTGAGTAATCTAACTTTTTCTTTTTCATCCTTCAATCTCGCAATAGCTGAATTAATCATCAACATATCAATTAACAACAAAATTAACAAAAGCGATTAACAAAATAAACACAAAAATGAAATAATTACCATCGTTAACGAGGAGTATACAGAGAGGAAGTTCGCGTTTGAAAGCGAGGACTTTGTTCATTTCTTCTTCCAATCTACGAACCAAGTCATCGAGCATTGAAAGCTTCTTCGATGAGTCTTTGGTGAGAGAAACTTCGTTGAGGAAATTAGAAACGGTTTTGGGAACAGAGGCTAAAGTCAAATCCAAGTTCACTTCCCCCATAGTTTTTTTTTTTTTGTGGTTGAATGAAAGTGAAAACGAAGGTGAAAAGAAGAAGATAGAGATTCATTTATATAATAAATAAAGTAAGGAACAAAATTCAGATTCATTTACATAAAGATTTGGTTCACGTATTCGGGTCGTCGCGTCTTTATCCCACTAGTAAAATTCATACACTACTTTTTTTATTTAAAAATCAATTTCTACTATTTATATATAATATTGTATATAGTATTATGTATTATTTAATTATTTTTTCCTTTTTGTTAACAAAATTTATAATAATTTAATTTTATATAATTTTTTTTGACTAAATTATAGTTTTGGTATCCAAATTTATTTATATTTCAAATTAATGATGAGATGTTCTTTTTGAATTTTTATTTTTAATTTTATATATATATCATATTTATATACGATGATTTTTATTTTTATAAAAAAATTGTCATTTAAAAATATACATAATTAATTCTAAGTGCAAAGATATAAAAGAGATTAAACTATTTAAATTTAAAATAGAAAAATTAATTTTATAAATTAAATAAAATAGGAAGGTAAATTTGTAGTTAAATCTATTTGTTTTAAAAAATTATTCCATACTAACATTTTTTTTCTCATTTTATTATTATTAATAAATAATTTATATTTTAAATATATTAGGTAATTATATATTTAATCTCAATTACGATAAGTTAAACGCTTACGTTATACAATGAATATATAATTAATATTAATTATATCTTAAAGCTGATAACAAACTGAAGATGGATGTAGTATTATGTTGAAAGAAAAAGGGAAGAAAAAAATATAGAAAAAAACGTTAAAATAAAATAAAAGTCATTTAGGATAGAAAAATTACATGAATAGAATGGAATATTAATTAGACAGCAATGCTATTTTAACACCCTTCTTATATTAAATAATTATATTATATATACTTTTCATTGTATTTATATGATAAATAATTTTTTTTAAATAATATTTTAAAAAAATAATGTTTAAATTCATTTTATAACATAAATATAAGATTGTGTCATTAATTAAATTTATAATTATATTAACTATAAAAATATATGTTATAAATCACTTATTTTACTTATAATTTATTAAATATTTTTACTATTTTATTAACTAACATTAAATTAACTTTTTTTTTTATTATTTAATTTTTTTTTATGTTTGAGAACTCATTAACTAATTTATGAAATTATAAATTATATTAATTAATTTTATATATAATATTAATCAAAATTAATTTAGTACGTAAGATTTAATATTTGATGTCAGAACACTCATAATCAAACTATGGATTATATTAATCAATTTATAAGATTTAATTAATTAATTTTATTATATAGCTTAAAATTATTTTTTTATGTCAATATATATATTAAATAAATTATAAACTATATTAAAATCAAGTTTTAATATTTATATTAACCAAAATAATTTTAAATAAAAAATTGAAAAATATATCAAAAAATTAAAATTAAAATAATAATAAGAATATAGTGTTATAATATAATTTCTCTTAATTAAATGCGGAACTGGGAATCTTTGGATTCCTATACTTTAATTTTTCGCGGCGAAATAAAATGTATATTGTCTTAAATTATTAATTATGATTATATGAATATAATTAACTAATATACAGTTTTGATTGATGTACTTTTCTGAAGATTCTTTTTTTTCTTTCTTCCGTTTGGCTAAGGATTCAAGATAGTTGACCTCACTGACACATCAGAGAACAGCACCTAATCCATATGACTATTAATATATCAACACTAATCTCTTGTGTTTGGCATGATTCATATACTCCATTGATCTCAAATTATAATTTTTTTAAAAATATTTTATGGCATTTAAAAATAAGTTTCTTTATAAATTTATAAATTTATTTTCTAAAATATATATTTATTTACATTATAAATTTGCATTTGAATAAAAAGGTAATATTAAATATGTCTATATTCAAAGATTAATTTAATAAAATTTAAATACATTTTTTATTCTCTATTTTATTCAAAATTAAATTTTAATTTCTCTATTTTAAAAGTTAAAAATTAAAACTTTAATTTTTTTTATTAATATATTATGAGATTTTTATGATCCCTATCCATTGACGCGTTAGTGACGCGGCACAATAAAAAGTAATTATGTAGCGTTAGTGACGCGGCACAATAAAAAGTAATTATGTAGTTTCAATCAATATTCATATCATTCTATATATTAAATAAACTATTTTATTCTATTATTTATTACAAAAGGAAAAACTTTAAATTAATTTATTTAAGTCAAGAACATAGCTAAGCTCATAAATAAATTAAAATCAATCCTTAAATCAAATGCTATGAATGTAATTGGAGCATTACAAAACCACATGTCTTTAAAACGAAAAACTTATTTTAGAAAAAGATGAATAACTTCTATTTTATAGTTGTACCGATATGTTTATAATGACTCAACTCCACTTAACATCGATAGGACCCAACCCATTAGTCCTAGAGCATGTTGGATCCATGGAGAGTATTTAAATCGTTATAGGCGAGGTGGTTCCAACCTCGAGTCATGTTGATTATCTTGCCATGATATGTTACATAGGCAAGATCATTCAACTAGAAGTTCAGTTGAACTGATATGCTACATAGGTAAGATCATTCAATTAAAAATTCAGTTAAACTTTAAGATAAGGAGTTGACTCAGCCACGAGTTATATAAGGAGTTGTTAATATCTCTTACACGATTGAGCCCCAGACATAAGAACATAACAATAATGACCATGATTACGTAACACTCGTAACAAGCATAAAAATAAGGGTCGTGAAAACATTTCACACAATAAGTTTCAAACATGAAAGAGACATTATATTTAAGAGCAACAACTATGTAATAGAAGCTTAATGAGCAAAGTAAGCCATAATGACTATAAGTATGCAAGTCAATGGTCAAAGAAATCCATCACTCGTTGACATATTTATACAGATTGAGGTTTGCTTGTCCTACATAGTAGATGTTGCAGATATTGTAAATTTTCAAGTATAATTAGCGCGCACCGTGGGACACATTAAAACTAACTTGGAATGTACCTGATATCTTTAAATAATATTTATTGTTTCTCAACCAATATTTCATAATGGTGGGAATGAGACACACACTTAATTCTAGTGACAATGTTATCCTAACAAAGATGTGAGCAACCCATGTACAGATTACATTGTCATAATGAAACTCTTCAAACTAGCATTGTGATCCTCCATCAATAATAACGTGAGGAAGATGCACAAGAGGAAATAGAGGATTTATATCCCCAGTCTCTCTAAGTCAAGATTTGGGATGCCATTGTCCTAGATAACTTCAACCTATCTTCCTTGGTAACATTTGATGGAAAGTGTGATCCATTCAAACACATCATTGCCATTAACACGTAGATTAAAATAGGCGCGGTGGATTTCCAAAAATGTAAGATCATATCTGCAACATTAAAGGAAGTGACCATGCGTTGGTACATTAACCTTTCCAGGTTCTTCGTGACCAGTTATGAATGTTTGTCTATAAAATTAGTCCACTGATTCTCACAGAGCAAGCATCGGAAGGTGTCTACCACCATTTTGTTTAATGTACTCCGAGAACACTTGAAATAATTACAAGAATATTTGGCGAGGTTTAACGAGATCATTGTTAAAGTAGTCAACCACAACTAGGAAATGTTTGTAGGAACTTTCCGAAATGGACTTAAGGTCGAATACTTCAACAAGTCCCTTGCATAAAAACTAGTGAATTTGATGGAAGAGATCATGGAAATGATGAAGTGTTGTGTGAAATGAGAAGAAATTAATGTTGAAAATAGAGAAATAGTGGGGATCTAAGTCCTCCAACAACTAGAAGAACCACCTTACATAGCCATTTCAAGAAAGGGAAACATTGAAACCACATAGAATTCCAAAGCATGTTATAAGACTTGCAAAATATTAGACACCTTCAAATATTAGGTGAGAGAAGAAATGACAGAAAGTTCATCACACTAGACCAACCCAAACCCTCTACCTCCAAAGTAGGAAACAATGGAGAGTGAACCCAACAAGTGATACAAGTACCACCAAGTTAAGAGCCATCATACTGACACATGTCACTAATTGGATAAATAGATTGAGTGCCTCATTTAGGAAGTTTGTTAAATAAAATATGTTAAAGGAACACTATAAAGTTTAAGAGGTACACTACTATAAAACATACATGCGGTGAAGATATATTACGAAATCACTTTATTCACTGTGGTAATATCTTATTTTTACGTGCATTAATTTATTTTATTTAAATAAGAAACATTTCATCACGGTTCTTAAACCCGATTGTGGTCATAGAAATTGGGTGACAAGTTTTGAATCCCAACATCAACATTTTTTTTTTCATTTTTTCAATAAAAATAAGCGCGTGACCCTTAACATTTTGTTTTTTAAATTTAAAGTATAACAACTACATTTGTTTCTTGAAACCGTTGTGAAATTATTTTCACTTAATAAAAAAAATAACAGACAATTTATTTTGTTCATAACATACAAGGGTGCCCTAGGGAATGAGACGACAACGATAATTAAATCTTAACCTTCTTCATTCATTTCTGGAAACAAATATCCTCTTCGAATTACGGTACATTACTATTATGTGTTTGTTGTTCTCTCTCTCTCTCTCTCTCTCTCTCTCTCTCTCTCTCGTTGTGGTATTGATACTGCTTTCTGAAAGTTTATGTTCTTCTCTAGGGTTTCTTTTTTAACATTGTGATGTGTATTGGGTTTTTCTTTGCTATGTTCATTTCTTATTCAGATTTTGTGACAATAACTTTGTGTAGATACAAACTCATTATTGGGTTGTTAATACACTTTAGGTTTTGGTGTTGTTAAAGGAAGTAAATGGTAAGATGCACTAAGAAAAGGAAATTATTTTTATTGGATTCTTAGAAGATTGCCTACATTAGATAATTTTATTCTTCATCCCTCTTTTCTTCC